CACACACACACACACACACACACACACACACACACACACACACACTAGGACATGCTCTCCAGTACATTAAAAATTATTTAAATTGTTTTAAAAAAGCTTTACTCATAAACTCAGGCATAAAGTCTAGACCTTATAAGGATGGGGTCCATGCTGAGGTGGGATGTCACTGTTGAGTGGTAACTATTTGGTGGGTTGGTTTTTTTGTATGTTTTGGTCAAAAGAGTATAATTATTTTATTGACAGACAATGGCATGCTTTCCCATCTTTTAATCTAAACAACAGGTAAGAAGGTTTTGTCAAAACCCTCCCCTGAAACACTTTGGAAAGGACAACTTTCCAAAATTACCTTTGAATGGAAGTGATCTGAGTTTGGGAAAGTTATAAGCACATAAAAAAATTAATAATGGAAGCTTGTAACATCTGTAACTATAATGGATACCAGGAAATCTGTATTAAAATAATATATACTTGGATTCATAAATGATACGACATCATCTATAACTACGTCTTCAAGTAGGACCCCAGCCTTGGATCCATTTGCAAAGCAGCATGTGTTCCTTACCTCTCTGCTAAATGATTTCTTAGCAGCATGTTCCATTTTAAGAGCAGTCAAACCTATCTTTATTTAAAATGAATTATTCCTAGTTTGGCTTATGGGCTCCTGGGCTGTCATATCATTGTGGCAGAGGAAGAGGAAAGAGGAGCAGGTGGTGGTCCTGGAACACTGATATTAACATGCAGTCCCTATCCTGATGGGATGTTGAGAAACACTCTGGCAACTATTCTAGAGGGAGAGGGAGAAAGGGACCCCTCTTTGCTTGCTGACTCAGCCTTCCCCTCTGCAGGTTTTGGGTATGCCTGTGTGGACGAAGAGGTTGGAGGGACAGCTGTATGCCAAGGTGGCACCACAGCCCTGATTTGCTGCTCTGCTCAGGGTTCAGAGAGCACTGAAAGGCCTTACTTTTAGCTAAAACACTTGAATGTATTTAAACTTCTTTTCTTTTTTTAGCTGCAGAAAGGCAGTAGCTGAAGCCAAAGAAGCCAAACACTTTTTTTCAGTTAAAAATAATTGAACCAGAGGAGGAAATAGAGATGACGAAATCCAAAGCAACTCTAGAAACTATCCACAGAAATTTTTTTTAAAATTTTATTTTTATATACCATTCTGTTTGTTAAAAGCTTGTGTTGGCCAGTTCAGATGTACTCTTTTTCTTCTTTTGTGTGACGTCTGATAACTTCCAGCTTAATGTGCTTTGGAACAGTCAGGGAATATTTTAAGTGAAAAAGAGATACATAAATGGACGCTAAACCCAGGCAGAGTTACAGCTATTCCAGACCATGCTGAGGCACAGCTCGAGTTTACAAACAAGCCTGTTATCAGTGTGATGTACTTTTCAGTCCAGAAGCACTTTTTGGTCATTAGAGTGGACTTCAGTGTAGGGATAGGGGGATGGACTTAACTCAAGCTGTGCTGCAGGATGGCTGCAAATAGTGGAACGTGCATTCCAGGCTGATTTTCCTGACATTTATTTAGGTGTTGTGAATTAGAAGAGTTATTCAGTGTAACGTAACTACTTTGACCATGAACTGGTGAAAATAAAGGCCACTTCAGTAAGGTCAAGTATAGCTCTCTGTCCCAATTTGCAAAACCAGTTTGAGGATACACACTTACAGTACTTGGATTATTGCTGAGCTTGTTACGTTTTGATTGCTTAGCAGGAAAATATATATAGAGTCATACTAACTCTATTTTAATACTGATCACTGGACAATGTTATAACTCCTTTCCAGAGTAACATACAACATCATCAGTTCTGGAGCTGCTCATTTGACACTAGTTTCTAAGCCAGCACAAACAGGACTAGATTAGTGATGGCAACTGAAATGTAAACAAGTTATCTGAGAAGCTCAGCTCTCCATCTGCCTTTTTGTTTTCCCACCACCTCTGATTAAGAGTATTCGCTTT